TTTAGATTTTAAGTCATTCTTAAACAAAACAAAACAAACAAAAAACTCTTCATACTGATGTTTTCTTTAGAAAAATCTCAGAATTGTAAAATACTAAATGAAAGAAACATCATGAGAAATGCTGGGCTGGATGAAGCACAAGCTGGAATCAAGATTGCCAGGAGAAATATCAATAACCTCAGATATGCAGATGACACCACCCTTATGGCAGAAAGTGAAGAACTAAAGAGCCTCTTGATGCAAGTGAGACAGGAGAGTGAAAAAGTTGGCTTAAAGCTCAACATTCAGAAAACTAAGATCATGGCATCCGGTTCAATCACTTCACCGCAAATAGATGGGGAAACAATGAAAACAGTGACAGACTTTATTTTGGGGGGCTCCAAAAATCACTGTAGATAGTGACTGCAGCCATGAAATTAAAAGACGCTTACTCCTTGGAAGAAAAGTTATGACCAACCTAGACAGTGGATTAAAAAGCAGAGACGTTACTTTGCCAACAAAGGTCCATCTAGTCAAAGCTATGATTTTTCCAGTGGTCATGTATGGTTGTGAGAGTTGGACTATAAAGAAAGCTGAGCATCAAAGAATTGATGCTTTTGAACTGTGGTGTTGGAGAAGACTCTTGGGAGTCCCTTGGACTGCAAGGAGATCCAACCAGTCTATCCTAAAGGAAATCAGTCCTGAATATTCGTTGGAAGGACTGATGTTGAAGCTGAAACTCCAATACTTACCTGATGCAAAGAACTGACTCATAGGAAAAGCCCCTGAGGCTGGGAAAGATTGAAGGTGCGAGGACAGGGGGACAACAGAGGATGAGATGGTTGGATGGCATCACCGACTCAATGGACATGAGTTTGAGTAAACTCTGGGAGTTGGCAATGGACAGGGAGGCCTGGTGTGCTGCAGTCCATGGGGTCGCAAAGAGTCAGACACAACTGAGCGACTGAACTGAGATGAAAGAAACCACTAATTTCAGGAATATTACTGTATCACAAAATCAAAATCTAAATACTTACACTAATGAGTATTTTCAGGGTACTGATGTAACCACCTATGAGCCAGTTACTCTAAAACAACTTTACAATAAGAGTTGTCCAGATAGGTTCTGTGTTCCACACTCCTGTAATTCTATCCTTTGGCACAAGTATGACAGATAGTAGTTTAACTACATGAATGTGAGCTACTTAGATTTGTGACTATAATTGTTCCAGTCTCCCAACACCAGAGAGATCAAACACATACCACCTCCAGTTACTCCCCCACGAAGGTCCAGCAAGGAAGGTGAGGGAGATCTTTAGAGGAAGAAAGTTACTAGATAAATAGTGTGCAACTCAACAACAATAAAAATATTTCATTAACCACCTAACCCAGGCACTGGACCAAGGATCTCTTACTTGTTTTTGCTTATTGTTTTCTTCTTACCTGAGACTGTGCATGGCAGGTGCAACATGGAAGAGGAGAGAGAAAAAAATGCCAAATTGGTTTAAATCCACATTTAAGTCAACCCAGTGGAACTGCGTGTGGGACCAGCCTGACCTTTCTCCTAAGCCTTAGCTGCTTCTCCTAATTCCCTGTTCTACTATTTTGAACCTTTTCACAATCAGAGCATGTGAAATCTCTTAGGGGAACACAGCGTGCCAGGTGGTCCCCTGGTTTTAATCTGAAGTATAACAGGGCTTTCCTTATAGCTCAGTTGGTAAAGAATCCGGCTGCATAGCAGGAGACCCTGACTCGATTCCTGGGTCAGGAAGATCTGCTGAAGGGATAGGCTACCCACTCCAGTATTCTGGCTTGGAGAATTCCATGGACTGTATATAGTCCATGGGGTTGCAAAGAGTCAGACACGACTGAGCGACTTTGAACTCAATATTGATGAAAAGAGAACATAAAAGTATCTTAAAACTATCACATTTATTTCTTCAGGTATGTCTAAAGTATTGGCATATCTTATCAGGGTGTATATATGTATTTTTAAAAGTCCCTTTTTTTTTCATGGATTTTCAGTTTTGTCAGTGTGCTTAAACTTTCCTGATACACTGTCTTTCTATTGTTTACTATTTTTTTTTTAAGCTCTGTAAACAGCAGAAACATACTTTAAAGCTTTCTTCATAGTGGTCTACTCCCTCCAATTTTTAGGCTCAAGTTCTCCTTGCTGGTTGATCCTGTGAACTCTCCATCATGAAGCCTTGTTTTCTGCCAAGACGTGCAATCATTAACTGTGGTTTCCACTTCACCAGGAGCCGACTGCCTTGAGAAGCGAGGCAAGTTCTGGGTCATGGATGCCCAGGGCAGGCTCTTAATAGTCGCTGTGAGGACCTTTGGGCTTTATCTGTACCAGATTAGTTTTTAAAATTTCAATTAACTTTGGAGAAAAACTTCAAAAATAGTGTTTCTGTATACCTTTTCTATAGCTTCCCCTAATACTAAAGTTAGCAAAATCAGTAAAGGAACCTCTGTACAATACTGCTAGCTACACTGCAGGCTGTATTTAGATTTCACCCTTTTTTCCCACTGATAACCTTTTTGTTGTCCAGAATCCTATCCAGGTTTCCACATTTCCTTCCTTTGTTTTGTGCCTCTGTGTTTTGCAGTTCCTCTTGCTTTTCTCAGTTTCAAGGGGTTTTTATTTTCTTGAGTTTCATAAACAACTCCAGGTTTATCCTATTACCCTTCAAGTTTGCATAGATGAGGATCTTCTCAGTTATCTTTCTAGATCATAGTCCTAATCTTTTAATTCCAAAATGAATCTGCTCTTAGTGGAACCATCGATTTGATTAGTGGAGAGCCTGTAAAGCAAAATAGTGAGATGAAAGGAGTGGCGCCAACCACCTTGAGTGACAACAATTCTGCAAATTCCATGCACTGAATAGACTACTTTCAACTTAATTCCTTGGAAAATGAAAGCATCAGGTGTTCTCACGACGGACACAAAAATCAGAGAACAAAAAACACTGCATTCAACTTTCACATTTTGCACATGAGAGAACTATCATGTTGCAAAGGAAATAAACAGAAAATATCACTTGACACCAATTCAGAGCATTTATTGACATTTCCATTTAAAATGCTAGGAAAGCTGTATAAATTGTAAACATGGAAACCAAACACTTGCATAAATTATTTCAAAAACTCTACAGCACATTAGAAAACAGTGCAGCTAATTGAAGGGAAGAAACATAGCCAGCAAAGAGAAGAGAGGGTCGAATTACTAAATCATTTACCCATAATGAAATTTAAGGGCCCGTTTGAGACCAGCAAACCATGATTGTCAAGTTCAAAGTTGCAGGATTGATGCCACAAGTGGCCTCAATTTACTCTGCATTTTTTCGTACATTAACACTCATAATCTAGGGATGAGAGTGCAGGAACTTAGAACATGGACCTTGACAAAGTTGGAGGTGGCCAGTGGGCACCCTAGAGTGCTCGGTTTGGCAGCCTTTCCTGGAAGGGTGCAATTCACTCCACCCCCATGCTCCCGAGACCAGCCCTGGAGGAGGGCAAAGTGGAGAATTTCTACTCCCCTTTTCTGAAATTGATCCTCTGCTGCCTAGAGCAACGGAGTCCACTGGTGGAGCCTCTGTTCCCCTAGGGTTCCCTCCTCCTCCCTCACATTTGCAGAGGAACAGTATGGGGAGCCTGGCTAGACGCTGACCCAGCACTACTCTGACCTTGCACTCAAGGAGTCAAGTGATGAACGTTGGAAACCTGGTGGACATGAGAAGGGGCATTCATGATGTTCCAAGTTGTCCAGAAAGATGCTGTGGAATCAGGGACCGTGAGACCCAAATCACTTCAATTTTTCTCGTTGTCCCTTCTCCTTATCCACTCTTTCTTTAAATGTGAAGCGGCCCCAGAGCAGAAAAACCCAGAGAAAGAAGGAAAAGCAGAGAGTCTGCATGATGGTCTACCCCGTGGGAAAGTAATTTCGAGAAGGGTGTCTCAGAGGGTGACATTCCTTCCTTCTTTCTCTTGCTCCCTGGTTCCCAACTTTGTTTCATGCTTCCAAGGCATCTGATACTCTTTTGCTAAATGTCAATGCTGCTGGGGTGTTAAGATAAATTGTCAAGGGTACTGTTACACACACAGCATGGAATTAGGATCAAACCCGTGAGGTTTTAGTTTTCAAGTCTTTTTCATAAAATTAGAGAAAGGAATCTTAAACACTGCAAATTGCCTCCAAGGGTAGCAAAAGAAACCAGAAATGCACACACTCCCTGTTCACTAGGTAACAACTGTAAGCCTAATACAGTGTATGAGTGTGTTACAGCAGCTGTTGATGGAAACCCCTCTCACCTGTTGTAAGAATATCCGTGACGGTGCTAGAGTAAATGTAAAAATGAAGTTCAGGTTACCATCCCATAAAAACATGCTGTGTGTTCAAATGGTCTACATGCAGGTGCAGAAGGGGACTTCCTCACGCTCCTGCCTGGAACAAAGGTGGGTTAGGTGGGCCCTGGAGTCTGGCTTTGGAGACCTGCTCTGGAGGTAGAAATGAAATGGCTAAAACATCTACAGCTAAAGCGTGTGTGGTACTCAAGACTGGAACCCCCTCCCCACCCACCCAGAACCTTTCACCAGCTCTCCTTCCAATTAGCAAATTCATTCATGTCTAGGAATCTCATATGAAAGGGAGAGAGAGATGTATTTAATGATTAACTCCTGAATTAACTACAAATGCCAATCTGTGTCCGAGTGATTGGTTTGGTCACTGGAGCACTAAGTTGTGCAAACACAGTGAACACTGACCCTGTCACGCAGTTGAATGGGAGGCTTGTAAAGCCCAGAATTACCTGTTTCAGCCCGCAGCCTCCAGGCATCCCTTCACCTGTGCCCTGCATCACAGGCCTCATGCCCTGAAAAATTGTGGTTGGCAGAAACTGGCTTAGTCTGCAGCTCAAAAGCCACATACGACCAAAATGAAAAGACACTCTGAAATTAAATACAATTTGGAGGAAAAAGTGTAGGTAGCTGTAAAGTCAAATATATTTACTTATAACCCACTACACTCCACAAAGGATTAAATGTGGCTGAACGACAGACCCTTGAGATCTGCTCTTAACAGCAGACCTCGGTGGACGTCTTTCACACTTGACACTGGCCCTCTGGCAGTTCTGGGACTCTCCCGTCCCCTCCAGAACAGACGTCTTCCTCCACAGACCTTCCTCCCAGGCCTGGTCATTTTCGTGGTGGGTTCCTGCAAACGTTTCCTCATACATCACTTCTTCCTCTTTACAAAACTCCTTCAATGGTGCAGTTACGGATTTGGTCTCCATATTGGAGCAGACCAGGTTCAAGGTTATTTTCAATGGCAGCTTCACCACTTTCACCATCCTTCCCCAGGCCCACTCTCAACTCTTTCCACACCATCTCACCACATGCCTGGAAAGCTCTTGTCTTCTGTGGCTTCTGATGCTGAGTTCTCCCCAAGATCCCACCGTTTCCAAACGTGTAAGTTCCATTCCTCCTTCTAATGTACTTGTGTACTTCGGTGCATTTTACTGACTTTTAAACCATGTTATTTTCCCATCTCTTCCATTTTTTACACCCGAGGGTGTTGTCTGATTCAGATCCAAACATCTCAGAAGGCAGGGCTCATGTTTGGTGCCAGAAACAGCAGAAAATCCGAACAATGCATGAGAACTGAAAGTTAATGGTGAAGGAAGTGAATTGAAAGCAAATCAGGAGGGAGGAAGTGGAGTCCCACGGGGCCTCTGGTGTTGCTCTGGTTTCCTCCACGTGAGCTCACTCACTGGGAGGTCACAGCAGATCAGACGGTCCATCCCAGCACCATCACACAGACAGCCCACGTTCTCACAGTGCTCTGTGGCCCCTCCTCAAGGGGTGTCTGCCCACATGACCATACCTGATCCTTGCAATGAGAAATCCTGGGGGGGTGGGGGGGGTGCGCGGGGGAGGCCCGTTCTCATGAGGCTGATGGGAAGAATAAGGCTCAGACAAGGGGCCTGACACAGCCAGGAAGTCACTGTGCAGAATCTGAAAATGACCATTTCTCCAAACAGTCTCCTCTAAAACTCTGACTCAAATGTATAGCTCTTGCTACTACCATGAGAACTTTTAAAATCAGAAAAAAAGAACAGACATAAAATGTCAGTTTTCATTTTGCAGTGTTTCAATAAATGGAACTCCAAAGCCACACAACTGCCACGAGGACCTCTCATTGAAGTAGATTCCATTGACTGAGTGTCTGAAGCCCCACTCAGGGTGGTGTTCCCACGACAGCTGATGGGTCAGTTGACAGTAAAACTGAGTGCAAACTGAGTGTGCTTTACAACCAACGCAAGAGTGCTGGGGATCTCACCGGCCTGCTCACACCCACCACATACCACCGGTTGTCTATAACACGTCATTTTTGGTCTTGACGTTGGTTTAAAAGTGTATCCCTTCTAAGAAGAAAAATACAGACAGAATCCCCTTATGCTAGCTTGAAAGGCATCAAAACTGCTACTGCAGCCCCGTTTAAAACAGAGGCCCATCTCTGCCACGTGCTAAGGAGGTAACCACATTTGTACACTCCACGTGCGAACACTTAGGACACTGAGCAGGAGGGGAGGGGAGGGGCTGTCAGCTGGCACTCAATCTGAATTCACCAAATGGTGTCCGAAATAAAAATTTGCGTGAATCTCTGAAATTCTTCCTTACACATTCAGGATCCTGGTATTTCTGAATGACAGGCAAAGAGACCCCTCCACTCTGGGCAAGTCTGGTATTAAATCAAGACTAAAAGGTAAGAGATCAAGCCCACATGAGGGTCCTCTCTCCCCTGCTCTTTGGAGCCAGGGAAGGGTACCTGAAAAGGAGCTCCCGTTACTTTATTTCACATTCTCAACAGACATCCTTCTGCACCTCTCCTGTTTCAGAGGCGTAAAGATAAAAAATGCCTACATTTTAATTTCCCAGAACTGACTCTCCCTGGATTGTGAGACTCTTGAGTCTACATAACGGGCTTAGTGCAGGAAGCGCAGAAACAGAACACTCGAACCCGATGGTTACACCCTGGGGCCTATTTTAGCTGCTTCGGGGTTCTTAAAATTTGACACAAATACAGAGATTTTGATTAGTCAGAGCCCCAGATTCTGCCTGTGTATCTGTTGTTTAATTAAAGATATTAATTGAGCTAATAAAAAAGGATTCATGGCAAAGTGTTATCTGCATCTGTTCTTCTTCATTCCACTCAGGTCCCAGAAAACAGAACAGCCCTTGTTACTCTATTCTTTACTCCACTTCGGGAAGCGGAGAGCTATTCCCTTCAGGAGGCAATCTCAAGTGAGAGGACCCCTCCATCAGGCCCAAAGGTGGTTTTATCAGTCACTCAGCACAGTTATACACAATAAAACCAGAAATTAGGAGCAACTCTTTCTCCCTCGTGGTCTCAAAGCTTCTCCTTCCTTTCTTGGCTCATTACAAAGAGGCTCAACAGAACTCGTTTCCAGGTCTCGAACACAGGGACTGCAATTACCACAGATGCATTCACGAATAACTAACCATTCGGTGGTCCTAGGAACTGTGACAAAGCATTTTTGCTTACGTAAGATTCCTCATTCAAAGTCGGGAGCAACTTAACAGCAAAGTGCCAGGATTCGTCGGGACCTCCTCAAAGCCTCATTCTATAGGACTGGCCTTGATGAAGATATGTACTCAAATGAAATGCAATAGGCAGTTGCCGCTGCCAATCAACAAATGGCAAATACAATTAAAAGTGTAAATCTAAACTTTGATATGTATTTTGAATAACCAAATAAATATTAAGCTTTTCCTCTGTGGAGAGGCTTTCTCCCCTCTTTCTAGAACAAAATGAAACCTTCCACATGTTCTTCTATTGAGAAAGCCAAAGTTGCATTTCACAGACAAGGTGAAGGGGCTCTTGTAGCTGTAGCACCAGAAGAAGGAAGATGCAGTTGATGGCTTTGTTTCAAATCGTCAGGCTCTACAATCTATCATTTGGTTTCTCACTAGTAGCTTTTTAAATTCCCAAAGTCTTAGTATTCATGTCGTTAATATTACTATTAAAAGAAGTTCCTATGGAGGAAAAAGAGGGTGAAAATCAAGCCGTTAATAAAATGTCTTCAAAACTCTTTTCTCAGAAAACAAAGCAGCAGGTTCATCGTACAAACCAGTCTGAGTCACATCTTCCCACGGAAATACTAGGTTCCTTTAATCCCTACACCATCTACACATTATCATCTTTCACCTTAAAAAAAAAAGAAAGAGACTAACTTAGGAATTTCATTAGCTTAGAACTGTGGTTGGTCTTTTGTGAAGTGCTGCTGGCTTTTGGCCAAAAGTACATAAATTTCAACTGAACCCAGGTGGTCACAAAACTGCCAACGTATGACAAGCATCATGGGCTGTCACGTGACTTGGGGCATCTTCTAAAAGCGCGACCTGTTCCCTTAGTTGGGCCCCTCGCCCCAAAGATGCTCCTCCTCTTAAAAACACCTGCTCAGTTGACTTCCTTTTAGTCTTGCTTCCACAGGAAGCGGATACTTGGCAAATGTGCAAGGCGAGGCTGATCAGCTGTGGAAGTTCTGCACAGCGGTCTGCTTCTGCGAGAGCCGGAGGAGCTCCTCTCGGATTGCTTTGATGAGAGAGGCTGAGGAGTGGCCGGGCTGGAGGTCTTCCGTGGAGCTGGTGGCGTAGGCCAATCCGGCGCCCGGCAGCCCCCTGTGAGGGGGGTTCCCGGGAGGAGCTGAGGGCTCCCGGCCTGAAGTCCTTGGCACCTGGAACAGCGGGGATGAATACTCCTGATGTCCAAGCACATGTGTCTGAAAAACCATGGCAAACACAGGAAAACAGAAGGGAAGATCAGAGGCAAACTGGCAGCCGATGCTCTCCACCCACCTCCCAACCAATAACTTAGTCTCCCACCACCAGAATGCAAAGATGTAACTGCAGAGAAATTTCAAGGGAAAGTAGTCCAATAAAGAAGCCCCTAAACTTAATTTAACAAGGGTCTATACACACTTGCTTCAAGACAGAAAGAATGAATGCATGGTTGGCCCCACTGGCTAATCCCTGTGCTGCCATGTGTAGAAGGAGAGTGGGCCACTGGGGAACCCGGAAGGGCCCTGCAGAGCTGGACAGGGAGGGAGGCTGGAGCATCCCAGAGAGGGCAAGGTCTGATGAGGATGTCTGCTCAGAGGGATAAGCAGAAACTGGCAGACGGACCGACAGGAAGACCAACTGCCTTTGCTCTGAGTCCAGGACCCAAGGAAGGGGTGACGAGAACACATATTGGGCCCATGGAACGGCAACAAGATCACAAAATCATCTTCCATCCTATCCGCCTGTGTGTCTGCGTGTCAGTGCTCTGTACAGCTTTTTTTTTTTTTAAAGCTATCTGCACAAAAGTATACACTAGCTTTGCTGACACTGGCAAAATATGGATTAACCGGGCATTCCTTTGATAAGAATTATACTTTTCAGTGATTTTTTTCATATTTTTTTCAGTGAAAAAAATCTCTTTATACACACATGCACACACTACATCTGTGATTTCACTTGTGGTAAGAGCAACTTGATAGCTTGACATTTGAGCCCTGGAATAACTTCCACATTTCACTTCTCCAAATTGTGACCAAGAAGCCCTCAAAAAGCGCACATTGGATTTGATGGGAAAACCCAAAACAACTCAGGAAACTAAGCCAGGCACAGAAAAAGCAAAATGTCAGCAAAGGTAAAGTGCAGACCTGAGACTGGAATGCATGCACGCCAAGTCTCTTCAGTCATGTCCGACTCTTTGTGACCCCATGAACTGTAGCCCACCAGGCTCCTCTGTCCATGGGATTCTCCAGGCAAGAATACTGGAATGGGTTGCCATTCCCTCCTCCAGGGGATCTTCCTGACCCATGGATGAAACTCATGTCGATCCAAGTTTAACCAAGTTGAACCAAGTTCAACTCCTGAGTCGGGAAGATCCCCTGGAGGAGGAAATGGCAACCCACTCCAGTATTCTTGCCTGGAGAATCCCATGGACAGAGAAGCCTGGTGCGCTACAGTTCACAGGGTCGAAAAAGAGTGAGACATGGACTAAAGCGACTCAGCATGCATACACGGTGGTCATAATGGAAATGACATTAACAAACCCACAATAAAACTCAAATGCGAGCAAGGAGGTACATAAGATCAAGAATATTTATATAGTGATGATACCAAAGATCAAGTCCAGCTTTTACAGTTTCAAATTCATGACTTAAAAGTCAAAATTACAGAGACAAAATTACAGGTAGTGCCTGGAGCTGGGGGAGGGAGAATGGGGAATTTGTGTTTAATGGGTATGGATTTCAGTTTTATAAGATGAAAAGAGCTATGG